GGTTCTTCAGAGAGAAGAAACTGGTGGCTTAACCAATACCATGTTACTGTGATGGGTTTAAACTCAACAGATTTGCTGTCACATCCATCTTTTTTTCCCATTTGTGTCTTCCCTGATTTATCTAAGAAAGGCAAAAGGTCCTCTTGACAACAATAGTTGAGCACTGCAGTCCATTCAGAGGAAGCTAGAATCACTGGTGTTGCATCTGTCTTTCTCTAATCACTTTAGTTCCCTACAACTGCTATTAATATTGTACTGCAAATCGATCAAGCATAAAGGATTCCTCACATTATAGTAAAATATTAACACCTTTAGTGGAACAAATGAAAGCACAGAAAAAAATTTGCTTCCTGCTGGTGACAGAAACATCTGCTGGCATTTTGCTGGCATTAAAGTAATATCGAATCTCGCAAGGATATATACTACACACAGGAATGTGAACACTTCATTACTCTGAATTTATTTGTCTGCTGCTCCTTCTTTTCTCATTTTTTCCCCCTGCGATTTATATTATTTTATTCATTGTGCATCACATCGCTGAGGATACATGCTGTGGCTGGGTTTTTTCCTGTCCAGGCATCAAAGGAACTATCATTCTCAGTTCATATCACAAGTGGTTTTGAGAGCCATTAGTGCATGCCATACATATTTATCAGGAATCTGAGCGTCCAGGCTGTGTATCAAACTTGATAAACAGGAATTTATATCAAACATCTAGTTTTGTCAAGCATGAAAGTGTTATATTTTCAAGCACATCTGTATCGATTACCAAATATTTTACCAGCAGATCTTTTTCAGTTGTCAGCAGGCAGCATGCTGTACTTTCTTCCTGCACGATGGAATAAGTCATATTAACAACTCATTACAAGCTTTTACATCAGTTCCTGTGGTAATCTCCAAACAAAGACCGTGATACACACTGTGAACTCTACAGTAGCAGATGTATCACATATTTCTCAGACAAAACTCATTGGCATCTCACCTAACACAGGGTGAAGGGTCCAATTGCATCAGCAACAAACTGCTGCTGCGGAGAGGAGAAGGGAGAAGAGAGCCCCGCAAAAACAGGTGGGTGAGCACAGAAAGGAATGATGGGACGGCAATGGGAGACGTCTGTGATTGGAGCATTCCTAGCCCCAGTAAACCTTTCTTCTCCCTCCGCCATGTGCAGAGTGTTGATAAGAGACATCATCCCACTGACTCATTAATCAACTGTGAAATGTACAGCTACCTGCCACTTTCTTATTCCCGTGCCCCCAAAACCCCTCCACTACCTGCCTCCTTCGTTTCTCCTCTTCTACCCGTCTCTAAAGAGAAGAAACAAACTGGACTCCACAAGGACTCCTTTTGAGAAAAAAAAACGACAGAGAGAATTGCCCTCCCAGCAAATTTTCTGTTTCAAGATTTTTTACTCCTTTCCAATCATATCCATGTGCACACAACCTTGTGTACACATGCATTTACACACAGAGACAAGCTCAAACATACACTCTGTGTTTAGACACAGGATGCAAGGACACAGGGACAAAAGGAGCGCCCACAACTCTGCAAATGGTTTGTGCTTTAAAGTTGTGCAGCTGAGCACTTTGTTCTACACACACAGACACATGTCCTACGCATTGATGTCTCAGAAGCTTAAATTATGCTCATGCAGACAGATAACCATATCATTTTGGCTTTACATCTAACATTCAAACCCAGCTGCCACAGCTCACTTTCCCCCTATAAAAACACTTTATTCTGCCTCTTTTCAAGTTGTCCTACAACTGTGCTCCTGCACAGGTAATATCTGCCATAAAGTCCCTGATACGTTTCTAAATTGTGCTGTGTGTCATGTAGGTCCCCCGCATATACATTCTCTTAAGCTGTGTAAGAACTGCTGATCTGCTGTCTTTTTCCACCACAAACTCAGACCCACTCCAGGGAGGGGGATATGGAGAGAAGGGAGGTTGGAATTTTGATCAGTTTATTTGCATTTCCTACATGTCAAAACTGTTAATTTATCCGCCGGTTTTGATCGCCTTTGCAGGAAGCTGACTACACAATCATTCACAGTGCGTCATCTATTTTTCTGAAAAGTAAGCAACAAACTGACCAAATCAAAGTTTGATTAATAGGCAGAAAGGTATAGACAGCATTGTTCTGGTGACAGATGCATAAACTGGAAAACCAGAGAGCTTTTAGCTGTAAATTATCTGATTGGGCAAGCTGTAAACTATAAGCAGAGGGGCAGAGGTTCACTTTCTTGTTACATTTATGGGACACACTATACCACTAACAGGTAAATGCTATTATTTATATCTATGGCATGCTGTGTATTTGCTTTCACACATAGAATGAAAGTCAAGAAAAAATTTAATGTTGTCAAAAGGGTTGAACATGAAGTGTCAGTCAGTGACGTCTCACAGAACATAACCCAGAAACATCAGCCGATTCTTGTTATCATCCAGGTACAAATGCTGGAGTCTGTTTGCATTTTAGCTTCTCCCAGTAATAATCCTGCTGTAGACTCCACTGAGCTCTAAATTATTCAGGCACGATATAAAATACATAAAGGTGTAAGTGACTGCAGGTAAAGCTGAGTCCAAGTGTCAAACTGGACAAACACATATTGCCATAGTAAGCTCAAATACACTATATCTGTAATGTCATTTTAAAATGTAAGGGTATAAAAATAGTACGATTTCCATGCTGTGAAAAGAGTCCGTGACTGGGTTGGAGACAACATCTTAAGCACCAGGTTGTATCTGTGATGGGGTCTGCACTACATTATGGCTGTATTGCATTATGGACTAGTTAGGCTGTTCTTGCTGGAGATCTGACAGCTCTGATTCATGTTTGATGGATTTCTTCCTCTGAACCTGTTTAATGTTGATGTAAGATACCAAACTTTTCACTCTCAAACACAGAGCCGGATATTTACTGTTAATGTTGTAAAAATGTTTGAGATAGATAGATTTGTTTAAACTCAACTGTTTTGCACACCACCCCTTTATGTATTTTATTTTTGACTTGCCTCTAAACCATGTATCCTATATGCCTTGAGTCATTTACAGCAGCTTGTAAACTTTTCCCGAGGTACGCTATAATTCAAAAGGACTGCAGCATGGCATGGAACAATATCTGAGAGTAAAGAGAGATGCTTATATGTGTGGGTTGTTGACTTACTTCTGACAGCAGGCACAAATTACTGATGCGTTCTGTGTAATTTTACCTCTTAAAGTAATTTGTTAGTTTGAAATGATGAATGATGTTACAATTGTGTGATTATTTGTTTCCCACAAAAAAAAAACATCAAACACAGCGTTACTGCTCAAACGTGTTGAATGTGGCGCTCACGAGTAAAAAAATTACAAATATTATATACAAGTGTTTGACATTTTATGTTCTCACAGGCCCAGAGCAGTAAACCCACCAGTTTAGGAAATCATTGTAATTTCTGCCAGACCTGACCACACTGTACACGGTGCAACCACGGTTAACAATAACATAGTGAGCAGGGTTTAATTTTACATCTCTCCCCCCCTGACAGCTTGTAAACCCTTTTCTAAATCAGCTGGTAACATAAAGCTGTTTGGTTCAGAAGCATGCATTTATGTGGCACAACACTAAACTTGATGTGGCGCCTGAAGACATAAACATTTCAGTGGAAATACTGATTGTGAGCTAACACTCAGCATGCATTCATTGCAAGCAAAAACAATGATGTATGCATAAACATACAAAAATACATCTTTCATCCACAAGCATGCCAATGAAAGTTTCAATATTTTTTCAGCACGTCAGAGAGTTTATATTTTGAGAAGAGAAGCAATACATCATGGGGGAAATATTACTCTTAGTATACTCTTAATATGATATCTTACAAATAAAAGTGGTTCATTTGAATGTGGAGTTGCATCTGTCACATTGAATGACACTAAATATTGGACACAGATTTGCTGAAGTCACCAGCTCCTCTAGCTCAAAACAGTCATATTAGTGACTTCGCAGTTTTAATGCTACATATTTGTCACTGTGAAGCGGTTTCCAGAGGGTTAGGTTTTTTTTAGAGAATAGATTAAGACACTCACATGCTCATATACACATTGAATATTTTGTTGGTTGCTGCCTACACTGACCATGAAGACTTGCAACTCCAAGATAGGAGACAAGTCTTTGAAATATGAAACACTCTTTCTGTGTCTCTGAGTTGTGATTACATTTACTTGCTGAGCTGCAGAGGAGGGACAGAAAAACATTGACGGAATAATTGGAAGGAGAAAAAGAAGAAGTCAAACTGTGCCCAACGTTAGTATGAAACTGGCTTCAGAATATTGTAATTGTGAAAACGCAATATCAACTTAAAGGTGTAGTTGAGCATTTTGGGAAATTCACTTTTTTGCTTTCTTGCTAAGAGTTAGATGAGAAGATATCTGTACAGTAAATATGAAACTGCCACCAGCAGAGGATTATCTGAAATTCGTTTAAATAAGCACAAGACTGGAAACAGTGGCTTTGTCCAAATGTAAATAGTCTGGCTTGTAACTCCCCCTAAAATCACAACATATCATTTTTACACTTTAGTTTTTGCAAACTAAACAAACAAGATATTATGTTTTTTTAGTTAATTAGGTAGGCTAACCGGCAATAGGCAGTGACTTCATACTGATTTAACTCTCAGCAAGAAAGGGAAAACATGTATTTCCCATTTTCACAACTATTGTTTTGAAGGCAGCTTTTTTTTTTTTTTACTTTGGAAAGATATTGACCATGTTAAGGGAAGGGTTCACTCTTTTCAACAATATACAGTATATGGTCAATAAATATGGTATGGTATGGTATGTTAAACACTATATATAAGGATATCTTTGAATTTCTATTCTACTACATGGTACCTTTAAAAAATATTCCGTTAAATGAGGAACAATAGAGCAGGAAATTACACATTCGAGCACTCTCAAAAACTGGTGGCTGTCCTTACTCTGAAAAACCCTGCAATTAAACAATGCGTCATAACCTCTGCTCTGCTCTCCGAGGGAGAATATGAAGCCCCACAATAGCAATTTAACCTGCTCCTCATTGGCTTATTTACTTCTGCATGTAAACATGAACACACTCACACATTGTAATAATTGCCCATACACACTCGGTGAACACAGCATGATACTCAGACACAGGTTATGGCTTTCCAAGCAGTGTGAGCTCGTTTAATCTCATCCCTGTATACATTCTTTGTGATCAAACCTTTATAGACAAATATAAACGCAGATAATGAAGGCCTTCCATTAGTATCAATACTCAATACAGAGCCATCTTAGCATACAGTAATGTCCACTCAAGGTACTGTAGATATCATTAGGCTGAATGAAAGAAAATCGTTTATATACATAGAGACAGAAATATACACATGTGCAGGTGGACGTATGACGAACACCCACAGTCATCAACAACAACATCTCAAATGACCGGAGAACCATTTACTGTTAATGTCGCCGTCTTTAGTTCTTTTTCGCCGCCTGCTGAAAAAGTATACTGTAGCACCCAAATGAAAGAGCTGTACGGTAGATTGATTATGGTCACGGATACTATACCAACACTTAGAACACTGAGTAGGCTTTACAGTTTAGAGTTTACACTAGTGTTGAAGAGACAGAATGTAATCATCCCCCATCCCCGCCCCTAAATTTGTGGTCTGTTCATCCAAGAGAAGATTAAGTCGAGAGCCAATTCAAGACAAAAAAAAAGAGTGACTGATAGCAGAAATATGTCTCTCTTTTCTCTTTTCGCTCTCACTCTACCCCATTTACCTCATGCTCATTCCTTTTCTTGCTGCAACAATTTCTTTTCTGTCAATCCTGCCTTCTTTTAATTATGTTGCTCATTCCCTCTCTCCCTCCTTTGGTGAGAAAAGTACAGGAGTCTTTGACATGATCAGCTTCAGTCCTCCGGGTTTTGGTGTCTCAGTCAGAGGGAGAGCCGTTCCCACAAAATGGCCTTCATGGCCTCTCCTATCAAGGGTCCTTTTTAAAGCCATGTACTCCATCACAGTTGTGGTCCACCCAAACAATACATCAAATGAACAACAAATTCACAGTTTGTAAAATTTCAACATTTTCCACCTCCTTTTGTTTTTCCTCTTTCATAAATGCCATTTATGTCAACTGCCCAGAGATTCAGCCTTCTTAATATCAGTCTCAGAAATAACACCTTCTGCTTTTGGGATCAGCTTGTGGGTGGATGACCTCTTTTTTCTCCTCCTGGCACTTCTATAAGGCATGCTGGGCCAGGACAAGAGCCAAAGCCAGGCCGGGAAGCAGAGCCCAGATGTTGGCACACAGGCAGGTAGAGTGATCCTCTGGCAGGCCCTGGGTTTTGCCCAGGCCACCGTCTCTTGGTTCAGGATACTGGGCAGATAGAGGGACAAACAGAGGGAGAGAGATGTGTAAAGGTTAGACATGACTCAGACACTCATGCTACTCTCCTGTTCTGGCATTTGAAGAGGGAGAGGAGGAGGAGGAGGAGGAGACAGCAGGGAGGTGAGACGGGACAGGGTCAGAGCTGAGGAGAAAAAAGGAAACATGAGTGAGAAAGTCAGAGTAAGAGAGGGAAATTACATGTATCCATGGCAGACCCACTTTGGCACGAACATTAAGTGTTTGATCCACCAAATGTTTTGATATGTGAAGCATATTTCAAGCCCCTGCTGCTTAGTATGCTCTCTGCTTCTTAAACAAGTTGGCAACAAAGGAAAGCTTCTTGTGAGGACTTTTTTCTTAAACTCTTTCAGGTTGCGCCAGCAAGTCTCTAAACAGTTTTTAAAGCTATCATTACAGACTTTATTTACAAGAAAAACATGCCATGAAGCCAAACACACACAACAGAAGCCAGCAGCGGCTGTGGGTTCCTTTCAATATTTCATAAGGCACAAATTACAGCAAGTAGTGGTCGAACAAAACAGTTGCAAGACCCCTTGTATGCAGTTTGACTGCACACAAACAAAACACTACAATGTTTATTGTTATGCACAAGAGAAAATCAACTCATGTAGGCCTACAGTGTGTGAACAAGCCGTGCATTTTACCGCACTGTCACATTATGGCAGAGAGCAGTGGGAACACATGAGTCCACATATTAAACTCTGTGGCCTCCTGAGTTACACTGTTATATCCACACTACAATGGGCTTCTGTGCTTTTCCATAAAATTGTTAGCATCTTGAATACTTTTTATATTTGCTCGGGTTCTTGTATCACAAAGCATAACCATTTGCCTCCAAGTTAAAGTAGTCTCGCTCAATTTGCGGAGGCACCAATTTCAGTCCAGCACAGCAATACAGAGGCACATCATAAGGAACATGAAACGTTTTCTTCTCCTCCTCCTACTCCTCCTCCTCCTCCTCCTCGTCCTCCTCCACCATCCTCTCACCTTATTTTCACCAATGCAACCTTTGTAGAGATTGCACTTTGGTCCATTTTCCTGTACATAGAAAAAAACATCTACTCAGATGTTATCTAGCAGCACCTCATCTACCAACAGAACAAGGAAAGGCAAGAAAAAAATAATAATGAAACAAGAAAATAGTGTTGAATTATATTAACTAGACAGGCATATTTTTTCTTATAGGAGAGAAGGAAGAGGGGAGAGAAATAAAGGGTATCCAAAATAGCTACAGTTATCACAGTACCTGGGCTTGTGCTTTCACTCTACACCGCAAAGAAATGGTTAAGTGACAGTTGCCAAAAGAAGGGGAAAAAAAGCAATGGGTAGCTTGACAATGCACCAAACACATCCGCGACTAAAAGCCAATTAATTAGCAAGGGCAGTGATGTGTGGCAGCAGCCTGTTGACATGAGTCCAGATCTCTGGCTGCAGCCAATATCCACACATACACTCAGGCTTGTGAGACAGTACACATACATATAAACAAGTGGCTAAAAGCACAAACACATGCACCATGATGGAATACAGAAAATGTCAAAACAGACTATCATCTCCCCGCGCTCTAACACATGCACAGAGAGAGACAGACAGAGAGGATGGAAAACATTTACAAGTATTTATTTAAGCTGTTGATAAGAGTTTATCACACTTGTCATTCAGGTAACTCAGGTAACTACACACGCATGTAGACAGCATGTGTTTTCATTATTGATCAGCACTGTCAAATTTACAGTGCGGTGGGGCTGCTTTTCCCAAGGCTAGCTATCGAATAACCCTGAGTTACGTAGTTTCTGTCCACAATCAATTCCATTCAATTGAGCTGAAAATCAACATGACAGTGTTACATGGGAACACAGACAACGCCAGCTTCACAATGGTTAGAGAGGTTAGGGAGGGGATTTTCACACAGACAAGTTGGTTTATATTACATTGTAAATGAAACTGAATGCAATTAGAAATGAATATTTCAATTTTAAACACTTCCTTGTTCAAGAATCTGTTAAGTGAGGGCATTAAAATTCAAATCAGGATTACAATTATAACCCACACAAAATCCATCTTATCTGTGAGACCCGCACTGACCCTGGGAATATAACACAGACATCATTGGGAATTAACTATTTACTTCATCAAACTCCACAGAAACACATTAGTATATGGGAAAAGCAATTGTTTTTCTCAATATAAACAAAGCAGGACTTACCCCTCTGACTTACAATGCTCTAAGGACAAAGCTTCAGCCCATATGTGTACTCATTGAGCATGGGATAAAGCCCACAACCACTGACAGTGACATTTTGAATAATTAGCATCTAAATTAGCTGAAAATACTCTACAGTCTATAAGACAGCAGTATGACTGACATGAACAGGCTTAGTCACAGACCCTAGATTCCCACTCCTCTCTAACTGTGCTTTATATTATAGGGTGTCCCTTGATGTCATGGTTGTTTGGCATCCATCCATCCATCACAAACCTAATACATTCTGTTACCCAGAATGTTTGTACACATGCGCCTGCACGTGTATGTGTGTTACTATGGGGCCCACGCTGGCCGCCTTGAGATTTACAGCATTGGACAGTCAGTCTTCTGCCAAGAGGACTCATACCATAACAACACTCCCCCAATTTATCTGCCATGGAAGTTTGACAAGTTTTAATTGCCAGGCATAGTTGTCTGAGAACACAGGGCCGCCCAAAATGTCCCTAACAGCTCCCTCTCTAATTATAAACTTCCTGCTTGAGTAATCACACGTCTTATTGTTTCCTAATTACCATTTTTACAATAAATTAAACACCACGCTGCAGTGAGACAGGCAAAGAGCGGTGCATCAATACCGACATACACACACAGAACCCTTGGAGAAAGCTCCTCCACCATCCATTCTCTCCATGCCATCCTCTCTCTCTCTCTCTCTCTCTCTCTCTTTCTTTCTCTCCAATACCTTTTCCAAACACACACATTGTAATTGTTATCAGTGGCGCTTGTTCATTAATTCTCCTCTTTGCAACATTTTTAAGGTTTTAATTTGCTGTCTTCACAACAATGAGGGTTTCTGCATAAAGGACAATACTGCATGACTCCGGTGCAGTGTGACCATTTAATGGCTGTGAAAGCCCCTGGAATTACTCAAAATAGATGTCTTAATGGTAGTCATTCATTCAGCATGCAAATTTGCATCCATAAACACTGCACGCTGCCTGGATTTTGTGTGTACCTGTAATAGTCACCGAAAAATTACATTAACAATAACATCAACAGTAGCAGCGGCAGCGGCAGCGGTGGCAGCTGCAGCTGAAGGTTTTACAAAGTACAGTTTCATACTACAGTGTCTAATTCAGCCAAGCTTGGTAACTGGGTCTACTGCAAAGGTGAAAAACATCATTAGTCTTACACCAGAAGGCTGCATGGCACATCTAAAATACATCTGTAAAACAAAACAATATTTCATTGTGAAAACTAATCAAACTCAAGAGCTAGATAAAAAAAAGAAAGAGGAAAAAGAAAAACCCTTCGTCGGCTCAAAGTGCAATGTGAATTTTTTTTGTCCTGTTCATGAGAGACAGAGAGGGAGAGGAGGTCTGTGGTGGACAATATGGTACGGTCATTTTCTCTTCGAATAAAATTCGAAGAGAAAATGAAGTACAGTTCCATTGAAAGACAAACACACATGCATTTTTGCAGCACAGCAAAGAGTGATGTTTTCTGCTCCAGACGGTGAACCCAGTTATAGCAGAGTTGACTGCAGTCTTCAGAGTAGACGGCATTCAGCAGAGAACAGGCCCTGGGCCAGTATTTTAGAACCTCTAATCCAGATTAAAACCCCCACCCCCCATTCCTTTCACTATTTCATTGTGTGTGAGAGAAATATAATATTTCAACCAAATGTCATCATCTTGGGTGTAGCATAAACTGTCTTATCATAAAGCGTCTGTTCTGATGTGCCAATTGCTTTAACAAGCATAGAGATTGAATGTGATGTGAATGTGAATGGTGCAGAGTATTGAGCTTTATGATTTTGCCACTGTTCAAAATCCTCGTTTCATGGAAACTGAGTGGAGGAGTGTTTTTTTTTTTTTTTTGGTTCTTCTTGTAATAGGTCCATTTTCTCAAATTTATGCAAAGAAGTTGCTGGAAACTGCTGAACATGTATGGATATATTTGTGCTGCAACAAATCATATCTGTTTAAATTTTACACAATGGGTTGACCTATATATAGTATAATAGACTCCAGGATTAACACCCTTAATTCAAAAAGCCTACCTGATTGACAAGCAGCCAGGAAATAATGACTCTGTGTTACATTTTTGCATATAAATTTAACATCTGTAATATCCCATGCAATGCAACAATCAGTGCAAACCTATTACCTTTGGGATGGCGACAAATGGAGGTTCCGAGGTGCCCGTTGTCCAATCCCACCCCGTCTTCGTCATCGCAGAGGTGCCTGGGACAGAAACACTTTTGTTCTGCATGTTGTCTATCCCATAACCGAAGGCCTGAATGGCATTTCCTGCAGGGACAGAGATATAAAGTCATTTGTTTTTGACTACCATCCCAGCAAGAAGCCAGCTAGCAGACAGACAGCTCTAAGTCAACTTCTTGGTCCCCTGCCCAATCTTTGGCAACCGAGGGAATGAGGGAGGGCAGAGAGGGATTGAGGAAGGAAGGAGTAACACGAGAATGGAAAGGCACTCTTTTTGCTTAGGCAGAACAAGCTTGAGAGTTTTATGCCAAACTAATCAGAAACGGCAATCTGAGGATTGTTTGTGAGATCTGTCACGGGGGAGGCTGCTGAGGATTTTACTGTCTTACAAAATACCAATGCTGTTTTATGTTTAATATTTTAGTCCGTGCCTTCTTTTTGAATGTCTAACATGTTCATGCTATCAATTTAGCTACTAATTATGCTTCCCTAAGTGAATCCTGCGGTGACACAGTGGACACATTTATCAAATCCAAACAACTTTGGTTCGTGTCCTTAGCTCCTTACAAAAATCCTTTTATGTTGCAACAGACGCTGTCAAATTGCAACCAGCTGACCAAACAGTGGCATAATATCTGCACTTGAGATGATGATGTTTGCCGGCAGTTGTACAATTAGAAATGGAATCTTTTAAAAGTAGCAAATCAATCAGCTCAAAGAGAGGACAGCGGTCTGTGAATGCATATGAGTGCTTGTGTGTCTGCCTGCAGATGTACTGTATGCATGTGTATAATTTTGTGTCTAAGTGCATGTGTGAGTCTCTGCAAAACTGTGATAACTCCCTGTTCAGTCAGCTTTTCAGCTAGATATGGCAAAATAGGGGCTGAGTACCTTTTCACTGCTCATCTGTTTAAAACATGAGGCTTGTTTCTCTTTGTTCAGCCAGAGAGAAGGCAAGGCATGTAATTGCTTGGCAACCACCTCCATTATAAGGTCAGCATGCAGAGATGACTTTGAATAGATTTATGTTACTGATCAAATTCAAAACATTCCCAAACAAAGGAGAAATGGCATTTCCCCACCAACACACAAAGGACAGATAGGATACTTGTGGACCACACATGCATTATCGGATGGACACACACACACAGTCTTTAGTAATCCCAACACATGGACACATAGATTTGTCTGTCACATCCTCTGTCCGCCTACGCAGTGCTGCACGCACACACAAGTGTACATACTGTACAGCAAATCACACACAAAGGCGCGCGCACACACGCACATACACCTGCAAACTTAACACATACAAAAGCATCCTTCATGTTTCTCATTCTGTTCAACACTGGTGTTTGGGCTGCTGCTGGAAAATAAAAGCAGAGAGAGAAACAGAGTGAAGCCTCACAACTTTAATCCTTGCAGTGAAGAGCTGGTGAAGCACTGCTGAGACATGCGATGTTACGCATCTGTTTGTCAGGGTTGGCTATAGCTAGCTATCCCCCTACAGATGCTGTAAGATGGGGGACTAAAGTCATAAATCAAACTAGTTGGCTGGAGGGCCTGCACACAGGATGTTTTACTGCGCCCAAATGTTCCACAGAGTGATTAAGCTCATTGCCAATAGCAATTCAATTTTTTAATAACTCTGGATAAGTTTTCCTTTAACCCCTGGGCATAGCCTGCATTGCCCTACCTGCAGGGACAGATGGAGTAAGAGATAAAGGAGGAAAGAAAAAAGGGAAGAAAGATAGATAGAGGAGGGACTCAGCGTTATGTTTGGACTGTCATTATAATATCCTGGAATGTTTTCTGCTGGATTCCCCACATATTTTAGTCAAACGTATATTCTAAAAGTATTCTTCTGCTGGACTGACTGACTGTTTTGCTTGAACTTGTCAGGTAAAGTGGGGGAGAGGTGAAGATTATTAGTAAATTATTTGCCGAACACCTGGTTTTCATTTGCAATGTGCTTTGGTTTGTCGATCAATGTAAGAAATGATTCACTCTGCAGAAACAGTGAAAGTGGAAAGATGGGGGTCATGGGGAGCTGAAAGACACAAACACACACATACACACACAGACACATATATCTATGTATATGTGTGTTTTTGTGTATATTCTCCTCCCTGGTGTGTCGAAGTTTATCGCCCGTTCCCCTTGACTGCAGAGAGGAGATGCTGCATTTTGTGTTATTTTTCAAGACGCCTCCTCAGCTCCCAGCCTCATCCCTCATCCTGCACACTCAGCTAAAACGGTACCCCAGCAATCTATTGAAATGGTCTGAAAGCATTATCCACACAATGGAACATGTTAAAGGCAATGGTGTCTTGTAGCGCTGATGACACTGCTCGCTCCGGCATAGCAAGGAGGGAGCTCTCTGTATTTTACTTCTCAGTGAAAAAAGCATAAGGATGTTTGAGGTAACCACTCTGTCATGCTGCATTCTGTGTGTTATGCATTAGATGTACAGATGATATGTATTTTAGCTCCCCCTATTATTTCATTTGTGCTAGATCTCTTCGTTTTCATGACATTTTTCTGCTGTAAGGGATAAGCCCTTTAACTCTCTCAGATTGAATGTGAAAATGACATGCAAATGGTTTCTTTTGTATTAAAGTCTGGGCAGATCTTGCCCAAAGGAGGGATGAGAAGTGATAAGAAATGACTCGTTTCTGAGGAACTAAGAACATTTAATTTCAACTTAATCAGTGGGCAAAGGAGTGTCTGTGGATAAGCTGTATCAAACTATGTAGCAGGCAAATTTTCATCAGAACTTCCATCCATCCATCCATCCATCCATCCATCCATCCATCCATCCATCCATAAATATTTTTCTCTTAATCCTTCCGGCTTTATTTCCTCCTTTGTAATAACCAAATAAAATAAATTATAAATTATTTTCTGTTCATTTTAAATGAAATTAGTTAATTAAAATTTAAATTAAGTTCATTCTCTTTTGACATTTCAATACTTGGATGTCTAAAGTAGCTGGTGCCTTTCACCTCATTTTTTTCCACATTCAGTCTCCACTGACCACTATCCACCCCTCAACAACATCACATCCACAGTAATCTGACAGGAGAGCTCAACAACACAGAAAGACAGAATCTGACAAATATTAAAGTTGCATTAGATCGAAGTTCATGGCTCACTCTACCCTTACATGGCTGCAGGAGAAACTCCTGTATCACGCAATTGTGGTCTTATCAACATCACATGCTGGAAACCTGTCAGTTACAAAACACGTCTCAGATGCATGCAGAGTATCATTGTGTCGGGATGGCTCACTTAGGCATGTGTTGTCGGTGAAGTACCGCAGGAAGTTCATACATTCCTCTTCTTGGTTTCCACTGCCCTTACAGGTGCACCACGGGGATATGGTCCAGTTGGAGAAGCTGCTATCGACATAGTTGGGAGTCATTTCGGTCCCTGTGAGGGCATCCACACACCAACACAGACACACAAACACACAAACAATATGCACATTAGGACAAACATTTATGGGTCACTAATGGACAATAATGGACTACATTTATTGCAAATAGTATATAAAATGGACAACAAGATGTTAGTCATAGGAATGGGAAGGTGAAGTATTCTGTAATGCTTAATTTTAAATGTAAAGAGGCCATTACGTTATGAATATTTTGCAAAGTAGGTGCTTTAGGAAGTGTCTGTGGCTTGAATATAGCACTGTTGTATTAAAACATTTTATTTTGCGTCAATGCTTTCAGGTGGAGCAAGGGGCGTTAGATGCACTTTGTGTAGCATTTTCCAGAGAAGTCCGGGAAGCTCCATGGCATATCATCACTTCATTCTGCACGATGTATGACACATGGCGGGGAAGCACTGACTGATTCTGAAATATATATGGACACTTCAGCAACCACTATGCTAAAAATGGTATTTCACGTACATTTGCATTTGGAAGCTTTGCAAGCTCTCTGATGCTGCCACAACATGACCAAGTTGCTGTTATCAAACATTGGCTGGGATTGAAAAATATGCACGCACTAGTCTGTGCACATTGTTTGAGCAACATTTACTATGAGCAAACAGATGGTCATCAAGTGTTTTAATTAAGTAAACACTCTCTCTGTGGCTCTATTCACTAATTACTTTTAGTAGTGAACTGATGTCCAGTGTGCTGGGGGGAGATATCAGAGTAGGAGGGTGGGAAAAAAACTGAGTCTCACTGCACTGCCTGCTTGTCATGATAAAAATGAAGGTACAAGAGACTGCTGTCAGACTGTCTCTTCTTCAAACGCCCTATAACCATCACTCTTTATCTCACCGTGTATCTGAAATTTCAGAAAAATATTGTGCGATGTGGAGGTAAATGTGCATTTCTGTATGTCTCCTGCCATTTCAATCAATCTTTTTTTCTCTCTCACAAACACACTCTCACTACATCACAGTGTCAGCCACAGTCTTGGCAGCACTGACCGATGAGCCTTGCGTAGGAGGCCAAGCAGGCTTGGTGATTGTCTTGGTTGGGACAGGTGCTCACTGCGTGCGGAGTCATCCAGCAGTTTACCAGGTAATCAGCCAGCCGAGACCTGCACAACAAACATGAAACACGGCACAGACAGAGAAAGAGAGGCAGGGGCTCAGTCATAAACTTCAATCATATGACAGATGAACACACAAAGACACACACAGACACACACATACACGTACACAAATTCAAAGCACTGGGCCTAATTTTTTGGCACCGTTTTTCCTCAAGAGCAGCTGCCAATTGTGACCAGCATCAAAACTGGGAAAGTATATGCAACATCTGTTTCTGGGCTGCTCGAACAGGTGTGCTGAATAGCAACCAGGTCTCATTCACGCCTCAGCACCGGCTAGCTATTTACTATCTTCACAACATGCAACATAAACCTAAAGGCAGGGGCATTAGTGTAAGGATGAGAATGATATCACATGCTTCTGCTGGCCGTAGCTTTCATGCTTATCCTGGACATCTCAACTGTCTCCCATACTCACTTTCCCCACAAACTGAGGGAACTGATAAAAATAGTATGTTTTGTTTCGGTGTGTGTTTGTGATAAGAGCTTTAAGTCTGTGGAGGCCCCCGGGGTGGCATTGCTAATCCACTTAAGTAGGTTTATTGGGAGTAGCGTGTGCAAAGTTGCTCTGTCTCTACTGTTCACATCACAGCTGCCCACTAAGTGAATCACAATCCATTGCACATTTCTCTCTCTCTCTCTCTGTCATGACTCATTTACTCTGACCTGGTCTGACCACTTTTTGCCGCCTTAAGTTCAAAGGTGCTCTAACGTACCTCAGGCTGTGTTGTCCTTTGCGAACACAAACAAACAAACATTCACACACACACACACACACACACACACACACACACACACACACACACACACA